AAAAAATAAAAAAATAAACTACATTATTAATTTTACAACTAAGAAATAAACTACTCAAAAATACATATGATTTTTAATGATCGTTAATAAAACTAACGTAACTTAATTTATAATAATTTATGGAAAAAATTTCGTCATCATTATGTTAAACCAATACTTTCAATTGATGTGACTGTCACAATGCATCAGAATAGATTTGTTTTCCATGGCTGCCGTAACTCACTATGAATAATGTGTTCTGTACTTACTTTTTACCAAAAAACTGAACCTTTTAATAAATTGAACTATCAAACATTCAAGGGTATAATATCGTTATAAGCCCATAATGTAATGTATGTTTTAACGAGGAAGGATATAATTTAGCCGTATACAATTCGCAGGTGCAAAATGTTTTTTATAATATCATTTTCAAACTATTAAAGTAAAATTAAAAAAAGAAAATGGTCGTTGAAATATATATATATATATATATATTTTTTTTTTTTGAATAGTTCATATTACAACAATTTATTTTAACGTAGACAGACAGTAGCCAGTTTAATATATTTATATAATTTACAATGATTTGATGCATTGTAAGTCGATTTAGTGTATTCACCAGTTGTCGGTATTTGAAGTGCTAAGTTTTGACGAAAAGTTCGAAAGACAAACAAAGAAAATACATTCACCATGATAAAAGTTTTGTAATTAAATTTGATTTTAATTTTTACAAAATAAATTATGTGTACTAAACGTAATCGCGGTTATTTGGATTTAAGGTTTTATATGACAAAACCTCTGATTTTATAACAAAATGGGTTTTCATTATTATTTTTGTAAACACATTTAAATCGTTCGTCTGGGTGATTCATATTGGGTATGTAGATGTAACTAAGATAGAGTAAATAATTTCAACTCTGGGCATTTTAAATTTTTTACGAGCATTAATTTGAAAAAAGGACTTACCTATTTAACATTATATTTCAAGTATTTAAAAATTGAGAATAATAAAATCTAAATGATTATGACGAGATTTGTTTGAAAATTCGTTTATTTTAATACGACACTATTAAATTAAATTTTATTAGAATAGGTGAATGGTTAAAAAAAATTACAGAAATGTATGAAAACAGTGTTGAGTTATAGACTTGAAAGCGTTGTTTGTAAGTCTAAATAATTTCGGTATCAATGAAATTATATCAGCCGATGTGTCGATTATAAGAACAGATTGAGATAATAATCTTTTTTTAATCAGTCTATTTCAGTTAAGTGCTGTTGCTTTCAGTTCAGCCTCATTTGGATTAGACTTTTCACGTTTGATCAGGGCTTGCATTTGAAAAAAAAAAAATTTACATGTTATTTAAAATTAAAACATTATACAAATTTTGAGTTTATCGTTATTCGTAATTAAAGCGTTATTCAATTTTTGCGTTTATCGATATTCATTCAAAATTAAAATTTTTAATATAATTTATAATTTATAACTATTAAATAATTGGAAATTAAATTTTTTTTTTTTTTTTTGTAATTATATACTAAATAATATAACCTTTTGCGTTATGTTTTGTTTGATGATATGTCATATATTTTCTTAATCGTTATGTTTTGTTTCGTATTATTTAATTATTTATGTTTATCGTTTTCCGTTATAATTATGTTTACAATTTTCAATCGTTTTTTTTTTCCAAATATAACGTTATTATAACGTTTGCAAGCGCCGCGTTCGATACAATCGAGTTAAATCTACGCTGGCGGCGTTATAGTTGCATGTGGACCAGATATCTGATCAGATTATATATTTTAGTCACTATATTTCTCCCTTCACTCAGAATCCTAAAAATAAAAACCTAAGAGGAACACTTATCATTGCATTTTGTTTTTAGAAAATATTTTTGTTATAATATTTTATATGAAGTAAATATTTTGAATTAAGTAAAAACTAATTTTCCCCGAATTAATAATTGAAACTACTATTGATATATTTTAATATTATTACCAAAATAACTACACTGAGTGGCGGTATTTTATTAACTTCTTAATTTGTGACTTTCTGATAGGTATGAAATATCGTTTCTAGCAATAGTTAACAACAAACGGTCCGATGTGTACAATATTTATTTAAGGCTATTATATTATTTGAAACTGTTTCGAAAAGAGCATAAGACTAGGTAAATACAATTAGCATTTACTTAATAGGTATATTCTATGTTGATTCTACAGTTTTTCGATAACAAATAGCTCACTAAATGTCCCTATAAATATTATAATGTAAAAATATAGGCCTTTTGTGTGATAATTAAAAAAAAAAGGCCAATCATAAATTACCAGTTGGTAAGTGTATGAGCATTTTTAAACCAATAAATAATTCATTAATATTATGTAAACCTTTTCATTTTTTTTTCTGTCAGTAAAATAAATATAAATTTTGTTATTTTTATTTTCTGTACATTTTTATGTATTGGGATTTAAATTATAGTGCTTTATATAAAGAGGACGTTTAACATTAATTTGTTTTTTTTTTTTTTTTTGCTTACCGTATATTTTCAACATAAAAAATATTGCTCTCCATACATTATTTCAAACCAGGTTGTTTATAAGTTAAAAATAAGTTGTAAGATCGAAACAAATAGGAAGCTATTTTTTTTCGTGTTAATAAGAAGGTTTAAACCAATTTAAATTTTTTTTTTTTTTATCGATTTAAGTGATAAATAAAGATATTTTAATACAATTTACTACCTATTAAGAATTTAATATTAAACCATATTATAGGTACCATGATAATAAAACTTTGCCTTTGGGAATATTATACTACACTGTTAATATTAATTAGGGATTCACGATTCATGAATAATAACATTGTTTGCATTATATATGCAATATATTAATATTGTCTATTAATACTACTGCTGCTACTACTATTACTACTATTATTACTACTACTACTATGTTGCTTCTACTACTAACAATGAAACATTTTTCTCATGTTTTACACATTTTTATATTTTAAAGATATAGTTTTGATTTATGACAATAAAGTATATCAGTTTCGGGTTTCCTTAGTGTTTATTTAAGATTGTATGTTCAAAATATATGTTAAGTCTCAAAAGTAAATGAAAATAAATAAATAAATAATAGTATAAACCACGTGTTAAAAAAATTAAAATATGAATAATACTTATATAATATTAAGACAGTGTTGTTTGTGGTCTTGAAGGTTGTATAAGATGCACAAAATTACAATTTTTTTGTTTAGATATTATTCTTAAGTATACCTATATCAGGAAAGCTGTATAATATATTCTGCGAGCTGTTGACGAAAATACGCTATTATTATGGAAACATCGATTGAAAGATTTTTTTTCATATTTTAACTATTATCTGACAGCTTACAGTAAAGCATGTTTTGTGTGTTATGTTACCAAAATATTCAACATAATAATGTTGACTAGTAACAATTATTTTTGTTAACTATTGTAATTTAAGAAAATAATATATAAATAAGAATACTTATCATAATACTATCATAAATGTATAAAAAAAAAAAAATAATATTAAACAAATCATTTTGATATTGATAGATCTACTATGAATTAGTTTATCAGGTAAAACGGGTTTTTTTTTATGAAACAAACACAAAATTTTTAAAAATACTTAAAATATTTTATAAAAAAATTAAATAAAAAAACTCGTTATTTTAAAATGTTCATAATTAGTTTTAGATTGGACTAAATATTTAAAAATTAATTCTATTTAGAAAAATCGTAATTTAATATTGGTGGGATTTTTCAAGATTCACCAATTAATATTTTTTAATTAAGTAGGTACAGAAAAATAGCGAGTATCATTTGAGGAATAATTTTGAAGTAGGTAAAAGTAAAATCTAATAAATTAAAGGTTTGAATATCCAATTTTATTAAAATGTTGATAATTTAAAACGCATATAAAAATATAATTTTAGTATAAAGTAAATAATTTAGTATTATTTTTTTTTTAGTTTTTCCAGCTTTAGAAAACAGTGAAAATATTTATTTTTGACGCCAAAAGTACCAACTGAAAGTATTTCACTAAACAAAAACCTTCAATCACGTAGAATATAATACACACGGCTCTTTATTTTGTTTTATGAACTATTTTCCGTTTTGACTGACTGTTACATTGTATAAAATATACTCAACTAAACTACTGACCTGTCTGTCCATCGGCTTCATTCCAAGCCCTAGATCAGGCTAACTAACATATACAAAATATAATTAACACAACTATATACCTAATTTGCTACTGTCAACCAAAGAATAATAATCAAAAATGAAGATTGAAACATTTTTTTTTGCTTCAAAACGTGATAAAATTTTAACAGACACACTAAAAAAAAGTCATTTATGCTATTTATTGTAAACCCAATACATTCGTCGTTTCGCTAAGAGCATAAAAATCAGTAAGCACACCAACATACTATTTGAATATGTTTTGTTTTTATTATTTTATGAGTATATTTTTATAGTAATTTAGATAGGTACTTACCATAATATTATCTGTTGTCTGAAATTTGAATAATATTGAAATGTGTTACCTCTCAAAAAAAAAAAAAAAAAATATATATAATAATAATAGTATAAATATTGTGTGATTAAATTCAAAATACTAAGAGGTAACATTAGTTTGCTGAATCGTTAAAAAACGAAGGCGTTCTATGACAAATTTAACAAATAACATTCATTAACTTTCAATAATACATAATTGGTTATACAGTCCAACAATTGTAAACAAGTGTTTAATAGACGTTATATAACATGTTAAAAAGTAATATTAGGATAATATTGTATTTGTAATTTACACATATTACTAGCCTCTAGTAATCAATTCGTTTATTATTTTATATTTTAATGTATAACATACATTTCAATTGTTTTTTTAAATAACTTATATAACATTTCAACAAAATATGATAGTTTAGTTTAATGTTATTTTAGTTAATAAAAATTGTAATTTTAATAGTAATAAATTGAAATACAACAGGATCAATAATTAAAATAATAATAATAATGTGTTATTATATTATGTTAGAACAATAAATAGGGTTTTCGGTTTATGTAGGTGTATGTACCTACTTTATTTGAATATCGAACTTAATAATAACAATGATAATAATATGTAATATATAAACTTTTAACATAATTTAATTGCTCTAAACTGAAGTAGCAATTTAAAAATCATAACTTCTGACTAGAAACCAAAACAGTTTAGAGCAGTTTAACAATTTACCACTAGAGGGTATCTGATATAATCAACACAATATTGAAAAAATGTTTAGTATAGGTAATTAAATGACAAGAATCTTTACAATTGAGTTTATATTACAGCGTGGGAAGTCAAAACGGTTTAAGTTGATTTATTTCTTTACACTTAACACAATATAATTTTATTGTATTTTACAATCGGAAATGATATTAAAACATATTATTAAATCGGCATGACCGGAAGTAACTAATAAACAAAATTATAATTTACACAGTGAATAAATAAATTTTAAGTATATCCTGAGCAAATAACAACTTATCTTACTGTTGAACATTGTTTTTTAGTTTTTACTTTATCCGTTTTGACTAACTTCACATTTGTAAATTTTTCTTTAATATTGTACAATTATTATTTTTATATGAAAAAAAAAATGACAAGCTATAGTAGCGAGTTAATTAGTTGTATTTACAAATTCCGATCATATGATTTTCCATTAAATATGGATAATATATATATAGTTTAACAGTAAAACGCTCTGGGCGAGTATTTAAAGCCTATATAACTATAATTTAAACAATTTAATAACGGAATAGTAGTCGAACCGGCCGACTTCAATTTCCAGCAATAGCAGCAACAGCATAGCAAAAGCTCTATACATACAAATGAAAATCATAAAAAAAAAAATGTAATTTTCCCGTTTTATCACGTGTGAATTAATAAAATGATTTATCTATATTGTTATGTTATAAACGATACTAATGTCGGGTCACTAATATATTTAATTAGATTTAATTTGATGATTCACTAAAATTGAACGGGCCAATCATCGGTCACTCATACATTAAACGTTGATTGGAACCTGGCACGAGTATTCACTTTTCGAGACCTATTTAAAGAGTATTCAAGTGAAAAATATAAAACATTTAACGGGAATTGTTTTAACAGGTCTTAGTGAAAACACATAAAGCCTATGTTTTTTGATACATCATTTCATTGTGGCCTTTAAACGGGACAAAGTTTTCTACCGACATTATCGAATGTATATGTTACGTGCCATGACAATGGCTATGTTATAACGTCGCGAAACAATGGTGTAGGTAAATAATAATATAATGTCGTTTCTTCCCGTAAAATAATAATAATAATGATAATAATGGTCTTGAACGGATTAAAACGGGGACATAACACTCGAGCGAAGCGAGTGAGGGTGGGTGAGCGTGTAAAATGTGTGTGTGTATTATCGACTGAAATATCGTTCTACGGATTTTACGACACCCCACAGCAGTATTATGCTCAGTCTTGGTCACAATGAATCGCGTAAATCTCGGTCACCATCTGTGGACATTGTGGACCTCGTAAAGACCGATGGCCGTTTATCGCCTATAACGTCCCAAGCATTCAAATATACACACGGAAACACACACACACACACACACATACACGCACGCACATACACCACACAGAACTTATAACCTACACATGTACAACACAAAAGAAACGCGCAATACTCATGAATTACAACAATATAATAATAAGGCGTCAGATATTTAGTATATTATACTTATTGTTAATGTAATAATATTAATAATAATAATAATAATAATCATAATAATAGTAATAATAATTATGTGCGCATTTTATTATCTCCTATACGTAGTGCCGCAAATCATTTTGGTGAATGCCAACCGGAACTCGGGACTGAAAACGGTGTAGATGATTGGGTTCAGGGTGGAATTGAAGTAACCCAACCACAGGAAGAAGCTGGAAACGTACTCGTTGATCACGCAACCCTGGCACAGGGGCATGACCAGAGCCATGATGAAGAACGGCAGCCAGCACACGACAAACGCCCCAGTGATGATGGCCAATGTCTTGGCCGCTTTCCGTTCGCGTTTCGCTTCCAGCGACTCTTTCTTCTCACGCTTCGTCTTTGGCCTGGTGGGCGCCGCGGCGCATGCCCGGTTCACGTTCATCTCGATGATCGTATGCCGGGAGGCTGATGGGTCCATGATGGTGGGTCCGTCGTCCTCGATCACCGGGGGCTGGAGCTGATTCTGGTGTTGGTGTTGGTGATGTTGGTGGTGGTGGTGGTGGTGATGGTGCTGGTGTGTCGACGTAGCCCCGTGATCGTGATTCGTAGTGATCGTGAACGCGGTGGTCTTGTCTTCGCCACCGCTTCCACCCACACTTCCGCCACCACTTCCGCTGCCGTTGCCTGCCTTCGACTGACCGCCACCGCCGCCACCACCTCCACCGCCGTCTTGCGACGACTCGGGCATCGAACAGCTCGAGTGACCGTCGATCAGACCTATGCTCGAACATACGGCCGTCTCTTCCACTTCCTTCTTCTTCTTGATTCGCAGGAAAACAGCCTTCCGGAAGAAACCGCATTTTTTGGGCTCAGCCGAGGCGGCTGCATCGTCCGCTGGTTTTTTTGACCTGTAACACATGTAAGAAAGTTGGTAAAATCAAAAGCTTTTAAGGAAAAACGCTACTCAAACTATTGAAAAATGGAATTCCGCGCTAGGATAATATTATATAAATTGACTTAAGTGTTTAATAATCTCGTGACTGTGCCGGCAGTCGCGTGCGTGACGTTCCGTCGTTATTACCAATCCTATTACAGTAGCTATAATGCATGGGGTAATCCTTGGCTGTCTAAGTGCTTCCGATATCACAACCCACGCTGGACACAAAGTTTGAGTGGCGTTATAATAATAGTCTACACTTAAAATACTTGCGATCGATTCGTTAAGCCCACCGGATAATCGTTTGAAGAAGATAATTAATAAAGACTACCTACCTACTGCGACAAGATTATCCAATGCAAACTGATTGTGAGTGTAAATAAAATATACGATTTTTATTTTACAAAATTATTTTCTTGGCGCCTATTCGAGTTCCACTCGTCGAGATAAAATTTCTGACAATCACAATACACATTTATAATTCGTAAAATGCTTGTTTTTTTTTCTATTTTACACTACTTTAATTTTTTTGAACGATCTAAAAAAATATATAATCAATTTATAGAGTAATGTGCATATTTTAAGTCATAACTATCTACTAAGATCATGTTTTATATAATTCTTTCATTTTTAAACATTATCATTAATAGTTTTTGGTTATTATAGAATTTTTTTTTTAAAGTATGATTAATTACATTTTTAAATTATTTAAATTAAATTGTGTGCAATGTAAACAAATCCTACTTTGTTCATTTAAATCCGTTGAGTAAATGTCAAATAACGAACCAAGTACATAATATTTCTTAATAATTCACTTAATGTATATTGCATAATTCATAGTATGTATTATAAAATGTGTCAACAATTTTGAAAAATAACATTCAAATCCTTACCCAATTTATCTTTCATTGATCATTAAATTTTTATAATTTATTTTTTATCTTTTAGATGATTTCAGTTGTAAACTAAGTGTATTATTATGTATTATTTATTTGCAATAATTGAATACTATTGATTATAATATCTTATTAGACATTATAATATAAAATTTACATTTTTTCTAATGTTAATAAATAAATCATTATAATAATTATAGATACTCGACTTAAAATTTAAAAACAGCATGATTTAACTTGAAATTTTGTAGAGTTGTAAAATAATTTAAAATAAATCAAAGTTGTATAACTGTATTTGTATTATAATAATAGTGTATAATATTTGTGTTATATTAATGTACACTGAGGAATAATATTCAAGTTTAAGCTTGTTGTTTTTTTTTTTTTTTTTTTAGAAAAATTATAATAGTTCGTAATGAATTAAAACTTAAAACTGAAAGAAAAGGAGAAGAGATAAAACGATATAGTTTTACCAATAACAATGATCAGTGGTCAGTGGGAAACTGCCTATATTGGCTCACATAGATTATGCCTATGTGGCTCCATGTTTAAAAATCGATAATGATAGTTTTATTTATTATAGAAGTAAGTAGAGTTATTTTTTGATAAAAATTAAATTTGTTTAATTGGTTTGATGTGATGATTTTGAGACTATTATTTATTCCGTCTTACATTATTGTTTATGTTCTAACTCAAAAGGTTATTTTAATTCGCACCATTTAAATAATACTTCATTATTTCTACATAATAAGTTTTATTAATGCGTTTTGTGTATTATATGTTAGAACATTCAAAATATAAATATTCGCAATATTTTGTGAAAAACAGTGTATTATTTGATTAACATTTAGTAAGTAACACATTGTATGTTGTAATAGTTTAAAATTGTTATTAAAATATTTGGTTTTATTTTTATTTAAAATGCAATTGAAAATAATTCAAAATGATATATTATTTTTTTTTAAGTTTAAACATTCTTGAAATAGTAAACGTGTGTTTCATACAGTTAATTATGTTAACACAAATATTTCGTTTGATAAATGTATAAATACTTTATTTTGAATTTGAAAGTTTTATTTTTATCTTAATTAATTTTGTAATATTTACTTTAAAAGATCTATTTATTTTTATATTAAAATGGAAATTTCTAAAATTGATTATAATAATATAATATATATTTATTATATAGGTATATCAATATTTTCTCACATTGCATTTAATTAATTATATCATATAATAATCGGTCTGACCTTGAATGTTCTATCATAGCATTTCTTTGAGCCCTTCTTCTGCGAATCCTTCTCCTGGCTATCTTAAATATCTTCCAATAAAGAAACAGGATGACTAGTAGAGGCAAGTAAAATGTTGAACATGTGGCAAATATCTGATAGCCAATGTCTTGACTGACCATACATCTCTGTTGAATATTGATACGGTCTAGGTAATCCGGATCCTTCCAGCCAAATTGTGGAGCCAGTGAAACAACTAGTGCTACAAACCACACCACAATAATCATGCCCACTATTCTTCGACCGTTTCTCGTGTGTATATAATCAACATTAGTAACAGCCCAATATCTGAAAAACAAATATCATTAATTTTCATTATTGATGTATTATTATTAAGTAGAGTTTATTAAAAACATATCATACTTTTAGCAAACTGCTAAATAGAAGTAAAATGTTGACAATATTAAATAACAATAGAAGATTAAAAAAGAAATTCTTAGTAAAATATCTGGAAGTAGAACGGTATGGAAAATGTTGATAAAGTGGTAAAATGAGTGAATTGGCTGTATAATTAGATATGAAAATTGTTAAAAATATTAATAATGGAAGGTAGCTATGAATAAGGAAAGAACCATATAAAAAATCTAAAATAGAGTATAAAATAAAGAATACAGATCACGGAGGATCAAAAGTGTGAATCGTATTATTTTATAACTAAAAATAATGTAAGATAATAGCAAAAAATACAAAAAAAAAAAAAAGCTGTAAATAAATTTAAATACTGATAACAAAGAGAAGAAAGAGAGAAATGAAAAAATAAAAATAATATTCATTATGTGAAAAAAAAATATTTAGTGAAAGATATAAAAAAATATAATACGTATTTTTAAGATGAAACAATCAAACTCATAATTTATAGATATCTTAAATTTGATTAATTGTATTATTTTAAAGTTTAAACTTTTAATGATGAAGCGTGACATTAGATATTATATTGAAACAAATGAATTACTTCAGGGCTTACAAAGATTTTAAACAGTAAATATTTTAGTTTTTTTTTTTTTTTTCATATACGTGAGAGTATGAAAAAGGGTGTTAAATTGTTTAATAGGATTTTATACATGAAATGGCAATCTTTAAATATTTTATCAAATGATAATTCCTACTCTTTTTTTTTTTTTTTGGTAAATTAAATGTAATTAAAGCGTCATGGAAGTAGAAATGGGTCCAAGAACAATTTAAGTAAATGTACCTACAAAATTACAAATGATGCAAAGTATTACAATTTAATATTGAGATTTCCACGAAGTAAGTGAGACTTGGGTAGAAATTAAGGGTAGGTATGTATTTTTCGATGACCCTTTTATTGTATATGTTTTTTTTATTTAAATAGCTTTTTCCTACATTTATAATCCTCTTTTCAAACGATGTTCAATAATTACCAGTGAGACTAAAATTATTCAACAGAGATAAATATTCAGTGAACAATGAAAATTCTACAAACATATTCTTTCTACCATACCCTTCCTCGTCGACTATTTTACCACTTATGCTTCTATCCTAATCGCCTTTGTAATCAACATAGAATTTCTCATATTTTTTTCTTTCAGTAAACCTAAATCATTTTGACATGGTTTTTTCTTATTATAGTTTATCATCAGATGTCATCGATTTTAGGTTATTTCATTATAAGTATTCTAGATTATGCGTGAAGTGTACAGGAATTTTTAAGTCTTACAGTATTTTTTTTTTAAATATATTTTTGAGCTGTGAAATTTTCTCAGTTTTTTTTCTATAATTTTATAAACATCTCATATGTATGTTTTGGACAAATTCTATCATTCTTGAGCGCTATTAATATATTTTTTATATGTTTTCCTTCAACCTTTATTTCATGTTAAAAATTATTAGAATATTTAATTCATAATAATATAACTATTATTGTGTGATTCATAGATAGGTTAAGATAAATGTTTTATTTTTATACAATCATTTATATCAATTAGAAATATTTTATAGCTGTTGTATATTTAACAGTATAATACACATAAATTAAGGATTGATGGTAAAATTGATTTTTTTATTAAGATAATAAAGAGTATTGATACTACACACATGCTAAAAATAAATGCAATTAACTAATAAAAACAATAAACAAATAAATAACCCTTAATATTACTTAATTATTAGATTTTAATCAATTATTTGATATTAACGAAACACTAAAGAAGGGAGTAAACTTCAAGTGATTAAAACAAAGATCTTGTCAGATCCAACCCTGAATAAAAATGTGAGAGAATTATTCTTAAACTTCATATAAATTTAAATAAAATCAATAACCTGACATTTTATTATACTGAGATGGTTTAGAAATGTTTATAAAATTCAATATTCATTGCGTTACAATTAAAAATGATAATTTAAAATTTTTACAGAGAAAAATATTCCTGGCAAAGCTTTAATAGTTTATTCAACTTTTGTGTATAATTAAAAATAAACTTTTCAATGATAAATATTTAGAACATAACACACAGTATTCCGCATTAAATATTTATAATACAATCACAAAATAAGCTAAAAATTAAAAAATATTATTGTATTCTACTAAGTTTGTTTTTAATATCTGTCTTTGAATTAACACTTGAGGAAATTTTAGTTAGTTCACAAAAGTGTTTTTAATGAAATGGTCAATTGAATTTATCGCTCTAAATGTATATGATCACTAATTATAATTAATTAAATTTAATGTCAACCTTAATATATTATTAACTTATAAATTTATAGTTTATCTAGGTGTTTCAAAGTGTTTTATCTCATTAACAGTATTATATAACGATAAAAATAAAGTTTTTATAAAAGAACAAAATAATTATTTAATTGTTTATATACAAACAAAAAAATTACTTGTAGTGAATTCCAAATTTAAAGTTAGTATGATTTATATTAATATTAATATCTACCTATCTAATGTATAAATATTAGATGCAAATGTATGATTTTATACTTAGACAGAAAAAATATTTTTTTGAACACGTTTATTATTTATGTACATTTTACAGTGAACAGCAATATTATGGCGGATCGTTGATTTACGATTATAATATTTTATTTTTTATTTATACTCAAGATGGGTGAAATAGAAAGGTTAAGCTAGAATTTTCGTTGTCTCAATCATAAAATATTTATAATTTATAAACGTAAAGAAGAAAAAATATTATTTTTTATTTCCTTTTTTATTTATTATTCGAGAAGATAATAATGGGCCCCACTGAAGTGTATGTAAAATAAAAACTATCCATAGCCCATAGGTTAGGTACCTAATATCAGAATCCAACTATAGATGTTATTTTAGGGGATATTTTTAACCTGAAAAATTACATTTTCACAATGTTGAGTTGTATGAATAGAATAGTTTTAATATAATTTAATGTATTTTTAAAAACTATAAATTACATTTATTTACCAAATATAATTTTTTAAAGTAAATCATGTCATTTATTTTTAGTTTAAAAATTAAGTGCTGTCTTTTAAGTATTAAATCTAAATTTTATTATTTTTAATAATCAAAAAATATAGTAGAGAAATACGGAAAAATGTATCTATGTGAATTGTAGATAATACTTTCATTTTTTAAATATTAAATAACTGTAAATAATAAAATATTAGTTGAATAATTCATTATTTTATTGAATTCTTTTTTTTTTAATAATTTGAAGTTTAAAATAGCTGTAAATTTTTTTTCCAGTTGAAAAATTACCTTTTATATTGATTTAAGATTTAATATTTGAACTATAATGAACTAATTAAAAATTCTATTTGTTATTGACTTATAATATAATTTACTAATTATTAATATTTTATTTTAATTCTTAAGTGTGAAAATATTTCAATTGGCTTTAGAAAATAAATTAAATAGTTGTTATTATTAAATGATTCATACCGTACAAATATTTTAGAATTTTTGGCAAAATAGTAATATTTTATTTAAATTAAATCTTTATCTAGTTGAATGGACATATCTGATTTATGACCTTTTGTGTACAGAAAATGTTTGTAGTAAACTCTTCTGTTATGAATTTTAAGACAATGCGATGTTTCTAAACTTTCAAAAGCTTCTTTTAAGGAGTTTCTTGATTTTAAGTAAAATAACATAAGTAAGATATTATGCGTATGGCAAATGATAAATCATCTATACAGATGGGTATAAAAGATTTGACTCAAGACACAATGTTAATGTTTAAAAATGTATTATGTAGTCATTTATAAATCGCATTCTTTTAGAATTTTCCATACTAGCTAGTTAATTATAATTAATCAGTGATTAATTTAAATAAAATGTATACAATGTGATAGACTTCTTACAGTTAAGTACCTTCTTGTTTATTATCGGAAGTACATGGATAGTAGGAGAAGCTTAAACATTTTAAACAACTTTTTTGAAAATCTGAGCACAGTTGAAGACGATAACATCAATAAAATTATTTTATTTCTCAAACACATTGATATTATGTGTAATCTAATCTAGAAAAACCTATGTATGTATTCATATTATATAGCGTTAATATTAAATAGTTTTGTGAGTTAATAACCTAAGTTGTTGAAGCTGTACCAAAAGTAAAAGGAAAATAATATATACGATATTTTTAATAATTTAAATAAAATAACTAATTGTATAAAATAAACGGAAAAACTGTACTAATTCATTAAGATAAAAGAGTGATTAATTACGATGATAAATGACTAATAACGATATTTTTTTGTTAAATTATAAATTAAATAATTAGTATAATATTTATGTATTGTATATATGTTACTAAAAGTTACTATTTTATTGATTTTAATTAAAATATAAGAACAACTTCAAATATTTTTATAATCATTATTTCTTTATTATAATTGTTATATTTATAGGCTATGTAGATTTTAATAAGCAATTATTATTAGTATTCTTCAGTGTTATAATCTACTGAAATTATCAATCTGATATTTTACATGAAAATTATTATACGTAGGCTGTCCGATAAATAAGGTACAAAGTTTTTTTTGGCGTAAACAATAGACGATATTGGCTTGAAATTTCCAGCATTGATAATATATGTAACAAACAACGTATTCTATGCATCATGACTATTTTACTTTAGTGTTCCGTCGAATACGTAAGTTTAAACATGGAAAACCAATATTTAAGTTTCACAAAAGAAGAAGTTCGCGCCGTCATTCAGTTTTTTAATTTTCAAAATGTTTCTCCGACTGAAATTCATAGAAAATTAACCGAAGTTTATGGCCCGCACGTAATGTCTCGAAAAAGTGTATCGGTTTGGTGTACAAAATTTAATTCAGATCGAGAAAGTGTTGAAGATGAAGCAAGAAATGGTTGACCAATAAGCACGTCCACTGCCGAAACCATTGAGGCGGTCGAAAAATTGTTACGATCGGATAGACGACTTAAAATTAGGGAAATGGCTACACAACTTGATCTACCAAAGACCACTGTACATGAAATTGTCCATGAGAAATTAAATTTTCGTAAGGTTTGTTCACGTTGGGTTCCGAAAATGCTTACACCAGATCCCACATTCAGCGGAAAAGACTAAAGCTTGGCTGGAAAAGTACAAGTGGGAATTATTGCAACATCCACCATATAGTCCTGATCTGGCACCTTCAGATTTTTTTTTGTTCGGTCCGTTAAAAAAAAACACTTAGGAGGAACTCATTTTCAAAATGAAGAGGAGGTAATGAACTCAGTTACAGACTACTTCGATGAAAAATGTGCTGCATAATTCCGAGATAGCATTTTCAAATTATTCCATCGTTGGGAAAAATGCATCAATTTAAATGGTGACTATATCGAAAAATAGCAAAATATGTCTAATTTATTGTGTAGAAGTTTTAAAGTAATAAATTCATTTTTCATTATTCGGTATATTTTTGTACCTTATTTATCGGACAGCCTACGTATATTATTTATAAAATAATTATAATTTAGTCTCTAGTTTCTATAATACCTATTCTTATAAAATATTAATCAATTTTTTTTTTATAGATTTTGAGCGAGCAATTAATAAAGCTATTGGTTTATTTATGAGTTTTTTTTTTCATGATAAATTTAATTTTTTCATGAATATTGTAATAAACTTCTTATAACTAGAAATTCAATTCCAATGATTCTATTTAAGCGGAAAATGTTTCAATATTTTTCAATAAAATAGTGAAAAACTCTGATAAAATAATTGTTTTTCGAATAATAACAATAATAATAATAAAAAACATTATAAATTGGTTGTAAGAAGTAAACTGTAATATTTTATTAATTTATTTGAACCATAATATTATACTTATTTTTATTTTCATAATAAACCAATGAAACTATTTTAATATTTTTCGATAATAGCTTAAATATACACCAATACACTATAATATTATTTTGTGCTCGAGTTGAAACACCACATTACAATACTGAATACCTACGAATAAACCGGGTGAAAATATGTATCACATTAGTGCGCATGATTATATCAATTGATAAATTTAAGTATACTATCGTGATTGTATACATATTATAGGTACTTCCTTTGATAAAGTTAATATTATTATTATTAAGATTTTTAATAAAACATTTTATCAAAAATAACTGCTACTAATATTTTAATCAAATAAATTAATCACATATTAAATTAATTATACGTTTTAAGAAATATAATATTAAATAATTACTTATGCTTCCTTGCCATTTATCTAACTAATATATTATATTATATTATAATTTATTTGTAAGCAAAGTATACGTTACCTATCAACAGCTATTGCAACGAGGTGAAGTATGGAAGCTGTACAACATAGTACATCACTGGAAGTCCACATGTCACATAGTTCTGGACCTAAAATCCATCCTCTGCTTATCTGTAACAATAAAAGTACTTGATATTATAAATATATCATTCAATATAGATAAACGAAGTTCAAAAATGAATAATGTATTGCATATATAGGTACAGGTTCAAAGCAAGTATTTGTGTTTTACGAGTAGGTATATGTTTATTTAATCATAACTATTTCTAAAAATCATGAATAAAATAAAATATATCAATAAATTTTAATCATTTATATGTGATTGTTTTAAATTTTTTTCTAAAAATATTATTGAATAAATCATTTACAGATGGTTTTCTAAAAAAGGAAAAATTTGTAGTAAAATAAGTTACAGAAATTACCAATTTAAATAGTAATCGATTTAAAACAATTCACTTTTGTTGAGTTCAAACATGTTTCAAATGAATAATATATATTCAAGTAGAGTGTAAAAATATATTTAAATTCTAACATAATATTAGTGTTTTATTTGTTCCATACTAGAGTTGGTGAAATTAATACGTTTTACATATACCTAATGACATTAGTTTTATATATTATCTATTTTCAGTAGTAATATAATTTAATTAAAGTAATATAACTGATGTTAGATTAAAATGAATATAAAAATTTATAGTCATTTTTATTTTTTTAACTACGATAATAATTATTGTAGGTCACTAATTTACGATTATTTTCTTTTGAAATTTACTTGTCTTAAAGTATTTTTATTTTACGCATAACTTATAATGGTTACGAGATTGATTAAACAATGGGTATATATTATATTTCTTTCGAGTGTTTTGTTTTTATTGATTTAATGTTGTAAAACTTTCAACCAGAAATAAAATTATAAGTACCTATATATATATATATAAATCTACTGACGAAATATATTCATTAAGGAAAAATGCAATACTATGGCAGAATCGAGTTGCCGTTAAATCCGGACGCTTTGTATTATCGTGTAAACACGGTGAAACTGAATGATTCGGTACAAATCCCAGTATTATTAAAAACAATGAACAACTGATTTGACTTTCCAAACATGTTAATGATTTATTTTTAGCAAAAACTAACTGAAATCTTTTTCTATTCATATCGAGAAACTAATGGATTTTTAAAAGAATTATATTTATTTTTTTCTGCACAGGTGTAATTTTACTAAACTGCATTATTTTTTTAATTAAATTAAACACAATTTCACAATTCCATAAATAATTCCAATTTAATATGGCAAATAAATGTATTGAATTGCTTAATTATTCATTGAGAGTGCACTAATATTAGATACATGTAGTTCCGAGAAAAAATGTTTTATACATATAGTAATAATACATTTTGACCATTTATAGAACATTTTAACCAGCTGCATTATACTATTATACTGCAGTGACATTTCAATAGTTTATTGTAATATTGACTGTTGAAATACAAAATATGCGGAATGTAAAGTTTAAAGTTATACTGGATTAGATTTTATGGTAGGCATATCAATGTTAGAGTATTAGATAACAGTCAATGTAAATTATTTATTATAATATACATGATATTTGAAATTTATCTTAAATAATATCTTATGTTTTGAAATGTAATTGACTAAATACAATTGAAAGAGGACTCTAATAATAATCCTTATATCATAATATTCATTATAATATAGGTAGGTTCTTATGTATAAAATACTTCGATATCGGTTTAAAAACCTGATATTTTAAAGTTTTTTTCTAATGTTTATTTAAGTAGTAACATTTTATTAAAAATATAAACTTGTACAAAATTTATTAATCTGATTTTTAAAATGTATATCATTTACTTTGTAATAACTGATTTGTGAACTTGATATTTTTTTAAATGAAAAACTTAAGCTATTCATTTTCTTAAAATAATTTTAAGTATTATAATTATTCTATTCTTGAACTATTAATGGAAATAAAAATAAAACTTCTACCAAGTCAAAAAAAAAAAAAAAAATTGCTTTGTTAAATATTTAAATTATGTGATAAAACATTTTAGTAAAATATGTGCTTTTCTGAGTTCTAGAAATTTACTTAATTGTAGTATAATAATTTTAAAAAGTCATGTATGAACAATGAACATGTTAAAAAATGTAATTGATATGGACAAACAGTATGTTAAAGATTACAATAAACAGTGGTTTTCCAATCATATATACGTGAAAAAGTTTATGATTCAGACTGGAATATATTGCATACCTTTTTATAATTTTACTGGTCTCTATCAGTCTAATTGTTGCACAATTATGTGGTTTAAAATAAATATGTTTATTTATTTTTGTAAATTTAGTATGTAAATAAATACAATAAATAATTACATTATTCTACTTTTACTGCATTTGTATTTGTTTTAGTACATTTTTATGATTGGTTTATAATTGGTCAATATAAAATATATTTAGGTCTAGCTGAATATTATACTATTTTTAGACTTTTATCATTATATAAAATGTAGATAATGGAAAGAGCAACATAGGTACAAATACACAGAAAACGTAATACTTGAAAACAATTATAATATTATTGTATTATATTGGTTTTCCAACTGTAAACCGTAATGTTCATACTAAAATAGTCGTTAACAAAAAAAAAATAAAATACAACTATAATAGTACTAAATATTTTAAAGTTTACGATAACAATATTATATAATTTGATATTTTATATTTATACTTATCGATTCATTGAATAAATGGTTTTTTGTTTAAGATAAAAATATATATACATTCCATAGCACTAGGAAAATTAAATTCATGGTACATAAATGTTGCATTTGCTTACAAGACCTTGTAAATTTAACGTTTACAGTTGACCTGATTTTAAATTACAAACAGTACTTTTTAATCTAAAAAGTTACGAAACATAAAGTCTTATTAAAAATAATAGTGATATTAATGATCAATATCTATCAAATGGTTTTGCTTTTATAGTTTAAGAGAATTGTTGTCAATATAAACTTAATAATGATAACGATGATAATAAAACGAATCTAGTAGAACGTTTATAAAAGTTATGGGTGTGTCTAGTATTTAATATCTTGTATTTTCGTTATGTTTTTGACGTAATCTTCTAAGAATAATAGAACCTGAAATTAGCTTATTATTATAAAGATTGACGACTCCTATGAAACCAATTTCCTTTGGAATCCTTCAATCTTATTTCTGAGGAAATTGCATTTCACGAACACTCTATTCGAAAAAAAGAAATCATTTACTATTGGGTAAAATTTTATATATATATATATATTTATAAAATACAATTTCAATTTTTATAATTTTTATTTCAGTATTATTATTTGATTTGACGCTAGAATATAAAAAAGTAGCTCACTATTGCTTCACTTCAGTGTGAAATAACAAGTTTCTAAGCTAATAAAAAGCTGACAAAGGCTCTTGAAAAATAGAAGCAACGAAGACAAAATTTAATTAAGCGTACCGTTTTAATAATGTAACTCAATACTTTAAACATATTTCCTTCATTAGTTGGTTTGAATAACTGCTTGTAGGGGTGACGTATAATTTATATTTTACGACTTTTAGCCTGTTCTTTGTTCATCGTATAGCTTATGAATAATATACCTGCAGTTTCCTCTACGAGTGTGTAGCAATGTGTAAGCTGCATACATATATTCCAACTGCTACAAAATAAATATTATCACTGTGCTTATAATTTTATAGTTTTGTATAGAAGTGTAAAATGTTTGTTTATTGTAAAATAAAATATGTTTGAACAATTTAAGGTTAGTAATGATATTAAATTAACGTATTTTATTTTTCGATTTATTTCAGGTTAATTTAATTTTGGATTCCAACCGAATGAAGCCAAAAATGTTTTGTTTTGTTCTGTTAACACATTTTTCAGACAAAATAGTTGCTCAAAAAGTTTTATTTAGTACGCTAATTGACGAAAAGTAGCTTAAAGATGATATTTTTATGAGGATAATTTTTAATTTGTATCAAATTTTCAATAATATTTCTTCAAAAACGTAGAAATTATTTTTAATTTAATTTTCGGGATATTCGACATCACTCAAATATCTTGAGCCCAGACGTTTTCGAAACGAGATGATTTTCTAGCAATACGCTACCTATGTTAATCCTTATACCATTATTCATTATAGTTATTACGATATGTTATGTGATATTCTATGCTATAAATCTAACGTTCTTGGACTCATCTCAAAACATAAATAGGTTTATTTAATGAATTTACAAATTCACTTAATTGTAATTTATTATACTATAAATAATAATTTATTTATACGAGTATAGTTATAAGTAAATGATACCATTATGTTTTACATAAATATTTAAAGTTCCAATACCAAAAAAAAAAAAAAACAATATATTATTTTAATAACATAAAAATATTAAGCAATAATGCCTAGGAAAAAAAATTGCTTCGTATTTTCTGATCTATAACCAAATAACATAAAATATAAATTTAATTCAAATCTACTTTCTTGTGAATTTTACTGATTGTTTCGTAGTTTTTAGTTATTTTTTGAAATATCACGACTACTTAGAAATTCCATAAATGACCTCTTAAAATTACCATTTGTGTCCAAATACAAAGGAATATTTGAAACTTTATTATGACATTGAAGTACTATATGAAAGTTAACAAAAGTACTAAATAAAAACAAACAATAGGTAATTTTATTGTAATATTGTTATTATTGATTTGCTCCAAATATAAAATTCGGTAATTTTTTTTAAAGTTATTTATTCAATATAAAAAAAATAAATAAACAAATCCAATACAAATAATTGTAATTATTTTCAAAAAAAAAAAAAAAAAACAACTAATACAAATATATTACAATACATAATAAATAAAAACTTTTTTTTTTTTACTAACATGAAGGTTTTAATTGTTTGTTATACGCAAGTAATCCGTACATATAATGAATAGAGGCAATTTAACTGCTTTGTTTTATTTTTATGGTGTATATAATTATATTTTTTAATAATATTGAAATTAGTTTTGTATTCGTATGTTTTATAAATAAAACGATTCAATATATATATTTCT